GTGCGTGCGTGCGTGCGTATGCGTATGCGTATGCGTGCGCTCACTCACCCTAATCCATTTGTGTTTGTTCATGTGTTTCCAGATACAGGCCACGGACTTACTGCCTGGCTGATAGTGATGAAGAGTCATCCAGTGCAGGCTCATCAGATGAGGAAGACTCCTCAGACGTCTCGAATGACTCTGCTGGAGCAGAGGGGTTAGAATATGTTTATATACATTCCTTGTTTCACTGCTCACCTAATCCATAATCACAAAATTTTTTTACTAGGTTTAAACATAGTTTTTCATAAACTTATTTTTAATGTGAAAGAAATTGCAATAATCTTTTAAGAAAAAGTAGAGACAAAAGGAGTAAATCATTAAACCAGACAAAAAATGTGTCACTGATATATATATATATATATATAGTATCAGCGATACATTTTTTGTCTCTGTATATATAATATGTTTTGTATGTGACTAACCCTCCTTTTGCTAAACACAGTTTTGTTGGAGGCCACAAGCCGAGCAAGATCATGCGCTTCGTGGATAAGATTACCAAGTCCAAATATTTCCAAAAGGCCACGGAGACAGAGTTCATCAAAAAGAAGATGGAGGAAGTGTCCAATACACCCCTCCTGCTCACTGTAGAGTTGCAGGAACTCCAGGGAACCTTGGCTGTCAACATACCCCCTCCACCCACTGACAGGATATGGTGCGTGAAGAAAGTGTTGTTGTTTATCTCCTATGTAATGTGTGGAATGCTGTGCATAGTGCGTTTCCATGTTTGTCAGAGTGACAAATAATCACATTTTCCTTAGACATGAAACTTTCCCACAGACTGGAAAACACAGGCGAGTCTGTTGATAACAAAGGTCTTCAGATGACCCTTAATTAGCCAATTTCCTCTCTCATGTCAACAGTGACTTAGTTAAAAAACATACTGATGGATAATTCATGTGAAACATACACACTAAGACGCACGCTCCACTCAGACCACCTGAAACTCACTTTACCTTGAAACTGCATGTTTTATTGAGTAAAGTTAATTGAGAACTTGATATATCTTTGTTCAGTACATCACTGCCCTCTGCTGGTGCATAACTATAATCTCCTGCTGCCACCATTGTTCATTTGTCAGCTGTTAAATGAGTAACACGGTTGATTATCTTCTGTTGCAGGTATGGCTTTAGGACACCACCTCGCCTCGAACTGAAGGCACGACCCAAACTGGGAGAAAGAGAGGTCACTCTGGCTCATGTCACAGACTGGATAGAGAAAAAACTGGACCAGGAATTCCAGGTACGGATAGACACATTTCACTTTTCATGTTCATGAAATCTTAAGAACTTTAGGCTACATCCACACTAATGCGTTTTAGTTTTACCATGCATTATTTTTGCTTTGTTCATGCCATGACCCCTAAAACTGAATGGAAACAATGACGTAAACACCTACGTTCACTCCCTGATTGGAACTGATCACCCTCGACTACCAGTGGTGAATGCAATGTGGATAATAAAGTGCAAGTGTTACTGACCTTGTTGTCCTTGCTAGCTACTGCTGTGCAGTTAAATTCTGCAATTTATTAAGTTACAACTGCCTTTGCTGTTCCTCATTTGTAGTATTTTCTGAACTTACCAACTGCAAAATAGACAATCTGCTTCCTGTTTACGCTGGCAGACACATGCCCAGTGTACAACAATGGTCATGTGATATGTGTTTTCAGCTGTGTTTGTATGGACAGAGATTATTTGTGATACCGAGCTAAAACGCTTGTCTGGACGGTCAATGTTTTTGTTTTAAAACTAAAACATATCAGTGTGGACATAGTCTTAGAGGGACATCAGCAGGTCAGTTACATTTAAAGTCCAAATGCACAAATTTTACAAATAGTTACTTAGAACTGCATAGATTTGAACCATCACGTTTATGAAACTTGTTTAACCTCAGATTCATTGCTGCAGGATCTCTATTATTAGTGCTTACTACTTGTTTTAAAGGGAGTTAGCATTGTTCAGAAAAAGTAAATTCTTTTTCTCCTCTATTAGAAAATCTTTGTAATGCCAAACATGGACGATGTGTGGCTGACTATCATGCATTCTGCCACGGACCCGCGCACAGCCAGCGGATCGTTTGTCGTTCCTGCAGTGGACCCAGAACCTTCCCAGCCAGACAGGGAAAACTCCAGCCAGCCATGAAGAATGTTTACAGTATTTCCTCGAGCTTATGAATTCTCAAAATGGGAACTGGAGCCAAAGTCGATAGGTTGTAAACACTACTGTAATACAAACACATTCCCGTAGTGAGTGAGTCTCTCACTTACCATAGAGGACAATTTTAAAGGAACAAACAGTGAAAACAAACTGTTGCTTGCTGCTCTGTTCAGTAGTATTTATGGTGCCAGAGGAAAAGGTGATTTCTCTTTGAAGGATTTATATGACAATATGGACCTATTGAATAGGGACTAATATGTGAAGAGAGTCATGTTTGGCTCAGAATTGGGGGTGATTTAAGTAAATATATGGGGATATATATACATAAGTTTATAATGTCCTATGAACATTGATGTTGGAGCATTCACCAGATACCTTACAGCCTGCAGATGACAAGTCTCTGCTGAGGCTTGAGAGTGAGATAGAGCACGGTAGCCCCCCTTTTATAGTGGAAATACAGCAAGTGGTGATTTACAGTATGATAGTATGTTGAAATTAGAGGTTTTTCATAGTGAATGGTCGGCATGTGAAGGAGAGTTGTCGTTTCCACTGTTGAGAAATAAAAGTAAGCAGATAAAAAAAAAAAAAAAAGTGTATTGGAAAAGCTCAGATACTTGATGTTATGTTGATTTACCATAAACAATAATCCTTTAAGTGGCTTTATGCGAGCGGTTTTTGATCAGGTGTTAACTAAAAGTATTTATTTGTTCTGTGACCACACCCTGAACACCCCGTTCATTTGCCAAACTCCTCTTTCTATGCCAATGATGCGGTTATCTATGTCTATATGGAAGTAATGCTGAAGAGCAGACATGCGTTATGTAGAAGAAATGTCACACTATGTAAATTCCATACTAATGACAAATACAGAAACACAGTAAGTGCAATGATAGAAACACTACACAGGCTTTAGTATGATTTTGTATAGATATTATATTAAAGTATATGTCTGATGAGAAGTACAAGGCCTCTAACACGTCTATTGAATGTATGTATGGATCGTTTTGGTTTCTTTTGTTATTGTATGAAAAATGTTTTTACCCAGCCACATTTTGACTGGGGTATGCAAGTTATTGCACAAAAACAAGTGAAATTCCTCTTTCTGTTTTCTTTTGACAAACACTATCTCAAATTGCATATGTTTTTCCAGGTGTGTGATTCAATCGTTATGTTTATGGAGCACCAGGTGTTGTATTTTGCAGTTCATCATTTATACTTTAATGGTGTAGATGAAAATTTGTGACGATATGTGACTGTGCTTTAAAAAGACTCTACTCGCCATACTGTATGAAGAAAGACACACAATGTAGGAAAAAGTTAAGGTACGTACTATGTAGTAGAGCATCTATTGCCAAGAATGTATAGTCCCATTAACAAGTTCCCTTTCTGAGAAAACCTTTTTTAACCATCTTTCTAATGTTAACCAAAGTCCCTCAATTAGGCCTATAGTGCCAGATCTCTCTCTGCTCAAAGGTACACATCCTGTATTGATATAGCATTGTGAGGTAATATTTACATATATGCTACAATCTCTGCATTAACATGTTTACAGGAATTCTTACCTAGTTTTCATTTTTGCTCTTAGCACTATAACATGAATTATTATTATTATTATTATTATTATTATTATTATTATTATTATTATTATTATTATTATTATTTTCGGTATGATCTTCTTTCCTGTTATGCCTTGGTTACTTTATGTTAAGTATGTGTTTTGAATGACTACATGAAGTGGGCTATGGTTGTATTTTTTTTGTCTATGTCTTTGGAATAAACAGAATGAAATAAGATTTTTGAGGATATATGAAGATTATCTTATGATTTGTATCTGTGAATTATTAATGACTTTTTAGAATTAATTAAGGCCAAATTCAGTGATGATGTGTATCTGCCTTATTTATAGAGCAAAATAAATCCTGTCAGTGAAAGCCTTTTTGATTTCAAATTTTGTATCCTGAATTGTTGACACAAATCTTGCTTGCTATGTATTTATTTCTCTAGATCTAAATAAAGCTGTTTCTAGTAAAGCCTGTAGGCAAATGCCATGTGTTAAGAATCTCATCACACTATCACACTAAGTATGCGCCAGTGAAAGTCTTAAATTCAAAGCTTTTACTTCATTAAAATAATTTAAGCACTAGCAATGATATGAATTTAAACATAAAAAAAAATAAAAGTATTCATTAGAAGAAGGATGGCTTATTATGACTATTAATACGTTAATATAGTGTTAGCAATGTAGAACAATGCAGTGTAGAACAATGCTTTTGACTTTTTTATGTAAAATCTTAATTTATTCACTAACTGTAAAATAAGTGTGATGTAATTTGCTCTGCTCGGCTCCTGCATTAGATTCAACTGGGAAGGTTAAGATGTGACCTAGAATTAGGCACTAAAGTAAATTGATGTGGCTTTGATGAGCGTAAGGATGAGAGCCATGTCAATGACGACTGGTAATAATTTATATTATATGCACACACACACACACACACATCCATGGGGACGGTGAGAACTGCGCCCTCTCCTCTGACGGAAGTTTACGGTTGCCTAGCAACGTTCGTGTGCTAGTTTATCCGTGCCAGTGCTAGGGTGGTAAGTAACGGATAGCTTTAAGTGGTGTCAGAATTAAAGGAAATTGTTACTGAAAAGTTATTCAGAAATACGCTGTATTTGTTTTATTTATTCTATAGCTAAGGTTAGCTGTCCACTATTGCAACTATGAGTTAACGTTTTCCTGAAATTTGTGCATATGCTCCTTGACCGCTATACGCTCAGGCTACTAACCTTGGTCCATGGCTAACAAGTTACCACTAAGCTAGCATTGGGAAATGACGTTAATGCTGGCGTCGATGGGTTTGTGTTTTCTGTGTGGAAAGCTGGCTAACATAAAACAAAAATAACACAAGCAAAGTACGTCTATTTATTAATTATGCATAAACTTTTAAACAAGAGAATATTCTGTATTAAGATGCAAATATGCTAACGTAACTATCTTCAGACCACTTGTTTGTCATCACAGGTCCAATGCAGAGCGCTGAAGGTGAGAGAGGTGAAGGAGGAGAAGGAGGCTGGGAGGATGGAAGGCCCAACCAAGATGAGGAATTCAACAAGCTACAGGAAGGACTTGATAAAACAGCAGAGGACGAGGGAGCGACTACCCCACCTGTGGTATGCCATTTGAGGAAGAGTCAACCAGCTTTTTTTTGCTTTTTTGTTTAATTTCATCTGTTTTTATTCATTAATCAGCTTCTTATGAATGCATATTATTATATATATTTGTTTCTTCTTTTGTCCTGATGCTGTGATGTCACACTCGTGGTCTTTACTGTTAGATTCACAAAATATAATTTAACAAGGAACTCAAGCCTATTATACTATTGCATACGGTGTTACTCCTATGGGACAACAATTGCCAGCTACTGTAAAAGTCTAAAATGTGTGTCTAACAGTATACAATGTCTAAATCATAATCAGTATCAAGGACCTGTATACATGTTTTCTGTCTGTATCCCAATGCTGCTTACAGGATCAGACAGAACCAGAGCCTGCTGACTCAGCCCGTCAGCCTCACCCTGGCCTTATAGATGCAGATGAAGACTCCCTTGTGGCCACAAATTCAGGTAAGACAGTCACACACTAACCATGGTGGAAATTTACAATTCAGTACAAAGCAGCACAGTATGACACAGAATTTAAATTGGCAAATGTAACAGAAATCTGTGCAAATTACAATACGTAAAACAGTTTAATTTAGGTTCGTTTGCTTAGGATCTGTTAGTTCAAAGGTACTACCTTTTATTAATTTAGCTTGAATACAGGAAACTTTATTGCCCAAGAGCGAGATACTGTGTCTAAGATTACAGCACCATTGTTAACTTAAACTTTATACCTGCATTGAACGAAGAGAATAACTTGACAGCAAGTGTAGGTCAGTACATAGAGAAAATTTTTCACATCTTAATTTGTCAATAAGCTAAAGAATGACTTTCCTTTTTTATGTTTTAGTGCAACACAATGTTGCTCAGTTGCTGGTGATTCCTCACTTCTCAAACCTTCACACATCAGAAGACATGGAGGATCAGGAGCCACTGCCAGAGGATGAGGAAGAGGAGGAGTTCATTGTTCTTGACCCTGAACATGTCTGTAGCTCCTCATTCAATATTTATGCGATCAGTATTTATTAAATGAATAGATTTTGTGTTACTGCTCCTCAAAGAGAAAAATGTTTATCAATGTGTCATCTGTGTGCCCAGTATATTTGTGTATTAAGTGTATCGGTAACACTTAAAAGTTAGCTTGGGCTTTCCAATAGATATACAGTGTGTTCAACTATCAGCACAGTTCTCCAGAAGCTATGTTGATGCTGAACATGAGATAAAGTTGCCTTCATTCATAGCCATCTGTAGCAGTTAGTTTGTAAACATTATACTAGATATCTTTCATTGCCACTGTCATGTCATTGATGTTACATTTGCTCTGTTTGCAGCCCCTGGTCAGAAGGCAACAAACTGCTCTGAACAGCCAGCTGAGCAAGCAGCTGGAGAGGATCAACCTGGGACTGAAGGAAAAGGTTGTCTATTTTTCTGCCAACAACAAATATTTTCCCCATCTTGGCTCTACTAGTTCTGACACACACAGATATACAGATGTGTGCAGAAACAACATATAGTACACATGCACATACAGGTAAAATTTCCCTGATCTGACATCGGTGATGTCCACAAGATGGTGCTGTTGACCTGTATAGAAATTTGATTAGCATTTTTCTAATTGGATTATTTTCCTTTGTACAATGTGGACATTTTAAGACACAGAATAAAAATTATAACAATAATAAAATGATTAAATCACAAATGTATCTTTGACAAAGAATGTGATGTGTGCGGGACAAATGACAACCAGAGTAAAACAGAGGCTACTTGAGACTAGACAACTTGTTCTCTGATTCCTGTCTGTGCTCTCTCTTTCCCACTGCTACAGCTGGCAGTAGAGAAGGCAGATGCCAGCCACTTGCAGGATATAGGTTGTGAGATGTATACAATTCAGGAGCAGCTGGCCAGGCTCTATACCAGGCTGGAGGACCGTCATCACACCAAGGTACAGGCAGAAGCCAAACATCGGCAGGCACAGGATCAACTGGAGGCAACAAAGAGCTACTATTCCAGTACTACCAGCCAGTGCAGCAAAGCCAAAGCCAATGGTGAGGGTGCTTTGCCATTTGGTGGTCTTGTCATGGTGCTGATTAGGATTATATTTTTGATTCTCACTGTGTTGCACTATTTGTTTTAAACCCATATGAACAAGTCTAAGGTTAATGATTAAATCCATTATGATACTTATGTTTGGAAATACAAGCAAAACATAACATAGTAAAGTTGGGCTTGGCCTATAATTTCTGTAAATTGTGAATTAATGTGAATTAAATTGTAGTTATTATCTTGTTTAAAAATCAGAAACCACAATCTGGAGCCTCTCACACAGATAAATTAGACAACAACATGCTTTTGTCTGTGCAGGTATGTCTGAGCCCAGGCAAAGAAGTACAGATACAACCACGAGAGAATAAAATATTAGGCTTATCAGAGGTTTGATCTAAATGTGGAGTTGGATTCTACTGTAACTAACCTTGTTCTGCTTATGGTAATAACTCAATCCTCTGAAAAGTGATACAGCTTCAGATGTTAAATGTCTTTGTTGAAGCCATGCGGATTGAAACACATGGGGTACGTGATTTGATTTTATATCAGTTAAAACTGCAATATATAGCTTAATTAAATCCCTAAATTAATTACTCCATAGTGTCCCAGCTACAGGCGGAGATTGACAACCTGATGCTGCACCTCGTCTTCACACAAGGAGTCAGTGAAGATCTGCGTTCTAATGTCAAAGCCATGAAGAATGCTAGACGCAAAGCAGGAGCTGAGAAGGACCAGGCCGAAGAGCAGAAATTAAAGCAGGTGGACAAGATGAATTCAGACACATTAAAAACCTCAGCTCTCCAAAGTTTTGACTGTATTTGGCATTGATTCATTTACTGATTGAAAATACTCTTGTGTCATCAGGATTTGTATGTGGAGCGTCTAACAAAGGACATGGAGAAGCTGACGCAGCAGATGGCCATGTATGAGGCCCAGGCTAGTGCTCAAGCAGAGGAGACACAGGCAGCTAAAGAGGCCCACTCTGAGGTAACTACAGCACGACATTAGACAGTATAATATGAAAATGCTTTTAATAATCTAACAAGTACTGTAAACTAGTGCAGCTGTTGACAGGAAGTTTTACGGATTGAAGCTTCATTAATATATTTGTCAGCCATTTGGGAGCAGCGATACTGGCTGTAAAGAACACAATGAATAATTAAGTTGTTACAGTGTTGGAAAACACTATTAAACTATGTATGCATCCAGTGGATAAAAAGCAGCAATGACATTAATTTGGAGTTGTGTTTCTGGCCATATATTGAATGTAAGTCCAGTATTTATCCTTCTTTTGGTCTCCTCCAACTTCTGAGATAAATATCTGGCTCCTTAGCAGCTCAATGCTGCACTATGTTCACTATTACACTATTAGCACATTAGCGTCATGTTTATGTTTTTGCTTACAAATGGGCCAGAAAACCAAAATGGTGTAGATGCTAAAATTCTCTGTTAAGCTGCAGCATCAGGTCAATTTTATCTGTGAATTCATCATTATAAGTGACACCTTTTACATTATACATCATGTAATCAGTTGTTAATGTAAAGATATAAGTCACTCTACTTTCAAACTTTAAAATATTAATTAAGTTGCTTATTAATGCAATCAACAATTGAAAATTGGTCATTGGTATAAAAAGTATTTCTTGCACTAACTAATAACAGACAGTATGTGATTATTGTGACAAAACAGTATTGGCTTGATTTGATGGAGTTTCATCATGAGTCTCACATGGCAAAATTTTAACAGAAAAAGGCAGGGTATGTCATTGACCCCATTCACTGATACCCATCAGAACAACATATTTCTTTATTTGTTGAACCTTCTAACATACGATACACAGTATATTCTCATATTCTAAGTTTTGGTGAAATATCTATGCAACATTGGTCCAGCTACATGTCCAGTCATGTTTGTGTCTGTGTGCAGGCAGAGATGGAAATGGAGTCTCTGGTGATGGCACGTAAACAGCTGCTACAGCAGTGGAACAGCAGCCTGGTGGGCATGAGGAGACGAGATGAGGCCTTCAATGCGATGCAGGAGGCTGTGCGGTGAGAATTGGGGCAAGGGAGGGCTGAATATTAAAATGCTACTGATCCACTTTAAATGAGCAAATGCATTTCAAATGTACATGGGACTAGCAATGTCCCTGCCGGAGACATGCAGGTTCCCATTCTTTTCAACATATGCAGATATATGTAGAAAATACAACTACATATTTGTAGGACACACAATAATATTAATGACCTGAGATTTGAATGGAAAGGTCACAAATGTCAAAACGAAAGCATGCATTCACGCATTCCTTCCTACTGCACATGTTCCCTCAGTGCTGTCGAGCACCAGGCAATCTTACTGGAAAGAGAGAAAGAAGGCTACAAGAAATCCACCACTGAGGAGCAGGAGCAAAATGAGACACTGACTTTGCAGCTGAATTGGTCCCAGATGGATGTAGCCACCTCTAAAAAGCTGATCAGTCAAAAGCTGTCCCAGCAAGAGGCTCTGCAGGCTCACTACAGCACCAACCTCCGTACTCTGAGGGAGACAGAGTGCACCCTTGCCAGGCTCACAAAGGTAACAGAGGGCAAAGGCTTCTGTGTTTGTCCAGAGAGTGTTTGTCACACTGTCCTCCTACCCCCTCTATGCCTCTAACTATTTCACACACTGATTGTGCTTTCTGTTTTTACTCATTTCCTTTCCAACATCATTCTAGGAAACCAGTGCCAACCAGGTTGAAGTCAACGATCAGAGGAGGCAGTTGGAGAAAGAAAGTGCTGTGCGTCTGGAGTTGGAGGAGAAGATCATGACGCACATGCAGCAGAAGCTCACACACAACAAGGCTGCCAAGTACTCCCAATGGCTCACCAGCAAGATAGCCACACTCAAGAAAGAAAAGGTGAAGATGCGATTTAGAAGAACAGAAAAAGTCAGAACGCTCTGACAGCAGAGTCCTTCCATATACTCATAAGAAATCATGTTGTCAATATCATCATTATATTATTTAATATATAGTATTGTCAGACCTTCCGTTTCTAACTGGGGTGTTTTAGTTAAAAGGGGTATTTGAGCAATTTAGTATTACACTTTTGTTAAGAAACTCACAAGAGACAATAACAGAACAGAAAAAGAATAGTCAGAAGTGAAGCAGTAGAACTAAGATTACAAAAACAACACATGCACGATATGCTGAGGATAAAGATACATGAAGGTATGTCTTACTCATTGTCTCTTTCTCCCCTTTAGATATCTCAGTTGTGGCAGTTGGAGAACGAGGTGGTGGCGGTGGGACTGGAGAGCGGCGAGGTCAGCCAACATCTGGACAGCCTGGCCCTCACTCAGGATGCCCTCGATGAGGAGATTGCAAATTACAACAAGTTACTCACATCCAACCAGGCTAAGATTTCTTCCTTCATTACAATCATCGGGCAGAAGCAGGCCATCATCACAAACTACAATAGAAAGATCTGTCATATCGCAGCCAGCACTGGGGTGAGAGATTCTGCGGAAGAGATGACCCTTGGTTGTCTGTTGTTTATGTGGATGAATTAATGAAAAGCTTTTTGAATGTTTAATATAATAGCTAAATAAGTGCATTGTGCATTAGAAACAATCTTTACAATCAGATATATAGTAAAAATTACATCCTGTCTGTGTGATTTGTGTGCCTCCTTTCCCAGAATGAAGACCTGAGTCCTCTGCAGATCAAAGTAGAGGCATTGATGGCTCAGATTGAGGAGCTTGCAGCAAATATCAAGAGTGACCAGCAGCTCTGGATGAAACAGCAGGGGATTCTAGTAGGACTGAGCCAGGAGATAGAGGCCAACAGGAAGAACATGCTCAAACTGCAGACAGAGTACACTGGCATGCAGCAAAAGAAAATACGCCTGGAGAGTATGTAATGTTGTTATTAAGAAGCACATGCACAAATAGGTAAACAGGTCACTCAATGAATGTCAGTTGTCAGTCAGTTATAAACAGGATACTAGTGATCTTGTAACCACTTAAGAACTATAAGAAGTATTTAGTAACTTCAGCATCTGATAAAAACAGTAAAACCAAATATTAAAACCATTCACATGTACTACAGTCAATCTGTCCTCTTCCATCTGCACTCATACTCAAATGCCTTTGACACCAACTCCAACCCCACCAGGTCAGATTGAAGCAGAAAACCAAGAGCAGACAGAGATGGAGAAGAACATGAAGATGTTGAGGGGAGACTTGCTGAAGCTCAACACCTTGCTCAGCAAGAACGGACAGCTCAGCCAGGCGCTGGAGCAGGAGAATGCACTGATTGAGACAGATTTCCTTCACAGACTGAAGGTACAGTATAATTGTTCAATTCATCTTTAACTTTCTGATATTCTACAGTTCTAATAGTAAATTATTACAAAATGTGTTTAGGAGGCAGAGTGGGAGTCAGTTGAGATGCAGATGAAACACGAGAAGACCCAGGAGGAAAAAGAGAGACTCCTCAACAGTCTGGTGGAAGCTGAGTCAGTCACATAATCATATTTTGCTTGTTCAGTATGAGTTAGTATTTATGTGTTTCTATTCCAATCAACAAGATGAATTATTCAATTACGAGATATTAAGAGATATTATAAATGATTGTTGGCTTTATGCAAAAAAAAGATAAAGATATTGGTATATTGCTATGGTTAAAAGTTAATTTAAGATGACATCTAGAGTATATGATAATGTTTAAATATACTGATTCACAAATATCAAGACATTTTGCTAATAAGTAGCACATACTCATTGGATTGAAATCATTCAGTAATTGACAGCTCATGTCAGCATCCTTTGTTGGGTGCATGTGTTTGCGTGTGTTCTGCAGGCGGCAGATCATGCTGTGGGAGAAGAAAACCCAGCTTATAAAAGAGACGCGTTCAGCTGTGGATTCTGAGGTGGGCCAGGGAGACATCCAGATGATGAAGGCTGAGATCCACCGTATGGAGGTAAACACAGTGCCCACAATAAGATCATATGGAGAGACACTAAACAGTAATACTGAGTTGTCATCCAGCTTTTTGCCTTTGTATTTACATACATTTATGTACATTGAGGCAGTAATATTTTAAGAGCAGTTTGAGAAATGTGTCTTCAACATCCCTCTGAGCTCTTGTTGCTGATAGATCCTTGGTTCATCTGTCACCTCTCCTGTAATTATAAGCTCTGTGATCTCTAATTGAACTATTTAAGCACACTTTGAATAAAAATACATTGCAAATATTTATTTTATTTAATTAATTGATTCAGAAGTACAATAAATCCTGACACCACCAGAGCAAATGGCTGGTACTCACCAGGAGTGGCCTAACACTGAGGACCATTTAGATATCAGCATCAACCAGTCAACAGAGGCAGTATCACAACTAAAATAAAGGCTCTAGGCTCAAAGTCAGATGTTGGGTTGCACACGACATCCCTCATACCTCCTCTGTAAAAAACCCTCATGCTCTCTTAGTCTCTCAATATTTTCATCCTTAATTCATTTTAACTCATTTGTATCAACAGCAATAGTAACAGAGCATACAGAGATTAAGTAGCAAGGTTACGGATTGATTACCCCAGGAACTGATGACCTAAATTAGATAAAAATCTCTTCTTGCTAGGGTCAACAAGAGAGTGTAGAGGAAAGATGCAGCAGACCCAGACTGCATCAAGGTCAATGTTAATAACTCAACAAAAAAATTGGTGTAATAGTTATTCAATTTTAAGCTACAGTGCGTATTTTGAATCATGTAATGCTGACTGCAAAATCAAAGCTTACATGTAACATATTTCAATATGCTGCTTCTTTGGAGATCTGTCAATGTTCATCTTCTTCAAAAACAGTTATTTTAAACTTCCTCATTACCAGGAGGTCTTTAAGGTAATATGGTAAATTCAGTAGATGAGATCAATAAGTAGTTATGATCTCACCTACTGAATTATTTTATGTTTTGTGCGCTTGTGTTGATATTTGTGTACTCTCACTCAATATGTGTGTGTCTGTGCAGGTGCGACTCAACCAGCTGATGAAGCAGCAGGAACTGCTGCTGAGGGAGAGTGAAGCAACAGTGGCGAGGAGGGAGACCATCGTTCTCCGCAGGGAGGCCATGGTCAACAGCTCCCACAAACAAACTACGAAGGGCGAGTTGAGCCGCTTCATACAGGGCCTGCAGCGCAAGATTCAGGACACACATAAGGTACACACAGAGAAATAGGAGTTTTTGTACTGTACTGAAATGGTCCTTAGGGTGATAATTCTGGAAGGCATGTGTGAAGGAACAAAATCATTGCTGACAGCATAATTGTACTTTTAATAAGATTAAGGTACAGGCAGATGATGCTGCAAAGTAGTGATTGCAAAATCTTGAATTAAATAGAGAGTTGGGTTTATTGTAATAAAATATGCTACATTTCCATTCATTTCAATTCACATTTTTATATTAAACCAAATTAAAATTTGTCTCGGTTGCCCTTGTGATTAGAGAATTTTTTAAGGACAACTCAGTTCCATCAGAACAATACACTGAAATGCACTGTAAATGGATTAGTTTACATCTAAACTGTTGATTTTGTTAAAAGATGTAAACTAATTGTCAGTTTTTTAAAATAGATTTTAGTCAATAACTGTAAACGACTTTGTCTCTGAATTTAGGGGCATGTTTCTGCCTCACAAGGTACCAATTCTGGGGGCGCCTTGGTGGCTCACCTGGTAGAGCACGTACCACATGTGTTTAGTCCTAACTGCAGTGGTCATGGGTTTGAGTCCGATCTGTGGCCCTTTGCTGCATGTCATCCCCTCTCTCTCTTTCCCTGACTTTCCTGTCTCTCTCTGTCACTACACCAATCAAAATAAAGGCAAAAATGTAAAAAAAAGAAAGAAAAAAAAACTTTAAAAAAACTCAAAAAAAAACGAGGTATATTCTTGTACCAGGATATAAAAGGTAAATTTTTGTCACTAGGGGTACAGAAATGTTCTTTTAGAGGTACAGACAAGAAGGTATGAAAATGTACCGATGTTCAAAGGTACAGTGCTGTACCCTGCTAGGCTGAAGCTGGAGTGACAAAGCCTTTGTACCTTTTTAGGTGTGTGAGGAGACGTGGATTTTCCATATCTGCATATGTACCTGAATCACAGTTATCTTATATGCAGTATTCATGTCTTTAGCATGTGACAGAGTGTGAACAGGTGATCAGGGAGCTACAGGAGAGCCAGGTGAGTCTGAGTGACAGACTTGCACAGCAAAAGCAGCAGCTGATAGAACTGTGCGGCACCAGCTACGCCCTTGAACCTGACTTCATAAGTCTCCAGGATACCAAAGACAGGGTAAGGAGCACATAATGTTCTGTGTTAAAACACATAAATACATGCTACCATGGGAATATACTGTAACTCTTAAAAATCTTGTTCTGCCGGTTTGAATTTGTGTATTATACTGGTTTGTACCTACTTTGTGTGTGACTGACTCTTCACTATCTTGAAATCTAATGCACAACCGTCTTCATTGTTTAAGTAGCTGGTATGTGTCAATCAAGTCTCCATTCAGAACTGAAATATGCACCCTCAGTCTTCTGCCAGTAACTGTTGAATAACGCTAATGATCTAATGAGGGTGCGGTGACAGTGTTTATTAAAGCATTTTCTGGCTCATGTAGATGTGGGCTTTTCATTTACTGTCTTGAGTGTCACAGTTTCCACTCATGGAAACCACACCCACTAACCAAGAACACGTGATATAGCTACTCAGTGTTTTCAACCTTCTGTGATCAGTTGTACATTTTCTAACAAGTGAAAGCATAAAACATTTACACACCCATTCTTTATTTATCCCTCCCTCTAGAACCTGCTGCACCTGGTGTCTCTACAGAGCCGAACCAAGAAGCTGCAGGGGGTGTGTGAGGGCAACTACCAAGCCTCATCCACCAGCGAGTCAGTAGGAGCCGCTCTGCAAAGCCAGATGGAGCGGGTTCACTCTACCAGCACCATCCTGCACCGTGTGTGTGAGGAGTTTCCCCAGCACCAGGGGGCGCTCCGCAGGTTGTCATTAGCATTGGCAGCACGCACACAGGCCCTGGATCAGCAGGCATCCTGAGAGTGAGGGAAGAATATAGGCATGACAGTGAGTGCAGGAGAAGAAATGCAGAGGATGGAAAGTGAGTACAAATGAGGTTAAGATAAGAGAGAAAGATTACATGTACTAGATAGATTTGTGAAGAACAACAGGCGATTTATTTTGGTGTTTGTATTGTGTTATGCTTTGAATGAAAAAATGATTGTGAAACAATGAAACAAAATAAACACTCATGAAACCAGAAGAAAAAACAGCTAAATCTGTCATAGTGTTTGGCTTTTTCAATCCAGCTGCGAGGTTGGAAAGTAACTGAGGTTTGTGGCTCAGTAGTACTGTACCATTTAAATGATGAAGGGGTAATAACAAACATAAAGTGCTAGGAGCAACAACTGTTAATCCATCAGTGACAAAAAAATATTCTAGTGGATAACCTAAACCATTTAGTATAAGCATAATGTTGAGCTCATACACCATTGATTTGTTTTGTTATTGGAAAAAAAAGGCCAGACAGCAGCACCCTTGTACTCAGTTTCCTTATTTACTGCCTCATTTGCAATTTTAAAACACCATTATCAGTGTTGGTATTTGGAGGCTGAGTGATTGTACAAAGTCCTGATTATTTCTGTTGACTGTGGATGAAAAGGCACCTTTTTTTAATACAGTATTCTGTAGCATCAGCCATCAGTCATATAAATTACGTATTTCCTTCTATTTAGGTAACTCTCAAATTGATTTTCATGTGCTGTAAACATTTAACAAAACTACAAAATTACATACTTATTTTGTAAAAACTCAGTTCTGCTTTGCCTATAAATACTCATTGTTGTCCAGAACTTATCTGACATAAATCGCTCTGTACTGACTTATACTGACTTTGTACACAAAGGTTTTGTACACACACAAAAACATACAGTTCACCTGTCATTATGGTCAAACAAAAATACAGTTTGCTATAAAGAAAAAAACGTTCAGTTTTGACTGTACTGTTTACATACACCAGTGTCCCACAATGCAATGCACAAAGGAAATGGAATCTGAAAAACATCCAGAGAAATTGTGGATGGTGTTGTGGCAGCTCCTGTAAGATCTTACAAAATAAAAAAGGATTAAACCTTTGGAATAACACTTTGCTTTCTCTCACACACATTCTACAGACTTTGCTGTGAGCACACAAAAAGTTAGTTACTGTAGTGTTAGTTATCTGTGTGGCAGCACCTGCTTATTTACCCTGGGCAGAGAGGTATCTTCATAATCTGCTATTGAAGTACTCACACCTGTCCTTAAGTCTGTTCACAATAAGACCAGGATTGTGTGTGTTTCATAAAATGTCTGTAATTTCAAGCATTGAAATGCACATCATGTGCTGCCCAGAGCTAACCAAATTAGCTGCAGGCCTTCCTTGTCAGCAGCAGATCTGTATGTGACAGTGACGCCAAGTGATTTCAACACTTGCAAATTTGACTCTTCTGTGTGGGTGAACACTCATACATTGCTGTGGAACAGGCTCATCAGATTGTGTTATTCCAGTGAACACCATATTGTACTGTGTCTTAAAGACAGGACTTTCCACAGCACCTGGAGGTGCCCTGTAGATCACCAGAAGTAGCAGCATGCATGCACATGCACGCAGGGAAAACAAGCAGCTAATACAACACTCGCAATTTCCTCTTACTTATCTGAACCTAAATCTAAACTCACACACTCCAAACACATATGTGGAGGAGAGGACTTATACCTGACTTATAGTACTTGTTAGCAAGAGATATCTTTAGTGTAAAGTACAGTGACGCAGCAGCAAAAATAATGCATTAGGTTAACAGCACTTTCAGAATGGATCTCTCATAAATAGTTATTATTATAGCCATTATTATACATGAATGGCATTTCCTTGTAGTTAGTTTCCTCTTGAGAAGTAAATGTCTTACTTTCATTAGTCATTATTATTAGTCAAGTCACTTTCATTATTTGAACACTGATTTGTTTGCCAGCATGACAGTCTTTAAATTCTTATGTCAAGGCCTGTAAACTGTTAAGCCACATAATTATGCCAAACCAGCTCCCATTCATCAGGTATAATTAGATAATACTATCATTAGACGGTTGTTTTCCACTTTTCCACTTGTTTTTCACTTCGTCTGAGCTACAGTAACCTTGGAGCAAGACTTGTTAAGGTTAGATACAAACTTACAAACTTTAGATAGATACTGCTGTACATCAGACATTACTGAGTCAATTCACTGACTTTACTTGTATTACTGTTAAACTATACTTTTTAACATTATTTTATAATGGCTGCTTTTCCATAGTCTCACTTCAAGATTCTAACCTAATATGAACATACTCCACTTTATGCAGAAAATCTTTGTAACTTTATAAACTGCAAATACTGCTAGTATGAAATAGTCTTTTATACTTACAAGGAATGTCTCTGCTTGTCTTAAAAACAAGTATCTGATTATAGGTTAGTGTTATCACTCTGTTATATTTCAACCCTCTCAGTCACTCTGAGGTCAAAATCAACCATTCTCTAGAGAGCTTTGGTATTCATGAAACATGTAGCATGTCAAGAGAATGTATTATTTATTTGTGTTGTGGATAACCTTTGAGTGTAATTTCTAATTTCCTACTTCTTCTGCAGCTAATTATGTGGGATTGTAACATATCATACTTTAGAAGAGAAGAAGAGATAGAAGTTTGGTTGCTACACCACTTCACTTTTATCACAGTTCCGTTTTCCTTGTATATTCCCATGAATGTTCTGTGGGGAAATCCCTAATGCTGTTCAGTTGCCCTCACTGTATGAAGTGATATGAGAGAGATAAGAAAGCTTTGTGCTGCTAACGGGTGGTGCTCACATTACAGAAAATTGCCACAGCAGCTTCGTTTGAGTGTTGTATATGCGATGGGAGGGCGAGAGGATCATATTTTGTTGTTGATATGAATTTAGTCGAGCGTGGACTGCAGTGCTGAGCAGTAGGGTGTAAGTTTTATGAACTTTGCAATTTGGCTTGTCTTGTCAAGGTCCAGTGAGCTTAATGTTGTCCAAAGGAAGACTGCCATATCGGTGCACCGCAGGGTTCTGTGTCTTTTGATTAGCCACGCTCTACCCAATTTTTTTTCCATCCTTAAATGATTTTATTTCAAATGATTTCTTTAAATTTCCATTTTTCCTGTAACTGATGAGTTCCCTAGATGTCCTATACCCTCCAAAGTCTTTATGTCACTATACCATTTACGGTAGGTTGCCTTTACAGCTTCCATTTGTTTGGATAAACCCTTTACAGTACAGTTAACAGTTAATTCACACATGATGGTGGTAAATTAGCAAACAGTATGAGAAATCCTTTGACCTTGCAGAGACAGTCCATGCCAGCCGCTCCCCAACCTTATTTCCTGCCTAAACGGAGGACTTTGAACTTCACCTTTCAGTGTTTGCTCCCGTCAGTGGTGTGGTATGTATGTTTGCTTTACTGTGTTATCAAGGCAAACGTGCGTGTTTTCTAATGTTTCTGTTATGACAGGCTTTGTTAATTTACGCCATAGGCTGCAGCATGACTCCCTTCAACAAACAAATCTGGCTTCATTCATTAATAAAGCAAGGCAGAGGTTTATGGTGTGATTAGATATTGAATTCGCTGTTTAAAGCAAACAAATGTTACAAGACCACCAAGAATATGAATGGAAGAGAAGTGTGGCTCACTAGACTAATGGTTTGTAATGTGTCTTTGTGCACGTGTGCATGCAATATGTGATCGTGTGTGAGAGCTTGTGTTTCAGCTGTGTTTACACCAGTGTGTACCAGCACTCACAGAGTCAGTCCTCTGCTGCATCACAGAGCGCCTGTCTTACAGGTTTTCCTACACGCCCACACATAAACACACACTTTTACAAAAACACCCACAGGGCGTGGAAAGCAGCCGGCCCTTTTATACTGCTTTTCTGCTTTTCTGCTTGGTAATGTTTGCTGTTCTGTCTGCTTCCAGGAATGAGTCTGTGACAAGTGTCTTTGCAGCTTAGGGTGTGTTCATTCTGTCTGCTCCAGCTGTGTCTATCGTCTCAGCAACAGCAGACAAGCACCACTCTTTCAAGCCTACCCCACACAGTCAGGATGGCAGGGGAGTGTGTTCCCTGTGAGGGTCCAGACCTGAAGAACATGGGCGAGGAGGAACTGTGGGAACTGATTAACGACAACCGCCACCGGATCTCCTTAGGGGTGCGGCCATGCATCGTGATCCCGTACCTGAGGCAGGCCAGGGTGCTCACGGAGATGGATGAAGACGAGATTGTCAGCTGCCACAACCTCACCAACCGTTGCATGAGAACCAGTGAGATTTATGACTTGACTTGTTGCTCTTTGGATTTTAAAGAAAGTTAAAAACCTGTCCATGGGTTTATGGAGTGCTGTAGTCCACCTCAGTTTGTAGATGACATGTAGATTCTGTTTACTCTCCATTATTTGTTTACATTCCTGTTGAGAGCATGGCCAAAAGACAGAGGAAATTCCAGCAACATCTGCAGCACTGATTACATTTACTAGTAAGACCACCATGTTGTGCCAGCTGAAAGATTTTGGCCTGCCTTACCAACAAATTATCACATATTTTGATGTGATTGTTTTAGAGAACTATTGTTAGCTTTATTTCTCTCTGACAATACAGGGCTTTTATTTCTGAAATAAATCAGCAGTAATCAATAACCTCATGACCTTCACTGCTTGAGATTAAATCTGTTGATTCAAAGTTTATGGTTGGAGCTAGAGATAGAATTACTTTCTCCTCTGCTGTTTACAGGCTACATGTTGGATCTACTGAGGACTCAGGGGAGGAATGGTGCCGTAGCTTTGCTGGAGAGCTTGATGATCCACTACCCCACACTGTACACCCAAGTCACTGGACGCAAACCCAGCACTGAGCCTTCAAGATTCAGCGGTCAGTGATTTGAAGTGTTCCTATGTTTTAGAGGAATCTTAGTCTCTTTGTTTTTATTTGCTGTATGACTGACTTGCACTGCTGTCCTCACAGGCTTGATAAAGTACTCAGAACTGACAGAGTATCTGGTCAGAGCGGTAACAGGGATGCAGAGGGAGCTCCAGGAGGCGCATCGTGAGGCTAGCAGAATGACTGCACGCTGCGCCTCGCTGGAGTCAGAGATTGGGCAGATAATGGAACAGGAGGAGAAGTCGAGATCCCTTCAGGCTGACAACGAACACATGCGGAGACATTTGTGTTCTTTGCAACGTGAAGTCACCAAGCTGAAGGATGAGAAGTGTGACTTGTATGTGCGCTACACAGCAGCCATTGAGGAGAAATCCGCTGTGAATAAGCGCCTCCATGACCTCAACTTGCAGGTCAGTGATGCTCATTACAGTCTGTGACTTAGCTGAGGAAACTCAAAAATACGTAGCCTGAGTTTCTCCTCCCTGAAACACAAAGCCGTGATCTCAGGGGAAAGTCCTCAGAAGGTCAGTGTTAAAGATCTGAAATCTGAGCATTGTAGTTTGAACACAGCCTGTGAAAACAGTATAATGTCTTTTGTGGCAGTGAGGGCACTTTGTCTGAGATATCGCTTGTGTAATCTAGGAGACAGGTTTTGAGCTGAAAGCCTGTGTTACAAACTGGGGGCATGGAGTTTAAAAGGCCAGGCAGATAGGGTTTAACATGAGACGCTCAAGGGAATTTTGGGGTGCTAAAATTCAGGAAATCCCAGCTTGTGTTGCAACTATTTCGGCCATTCTGTAGTACACTTGTGATTTAGCATTGCACAACTGATAACATTGCGGGATATAGAATGGGCAGTTAAAAAAGGGAATGAAAACTGATGCAGCTGAACCAGAGATATCAGAGATGTCTTTTTCATGCCACCTATTCTTCTTCCATGTCAAAACCTGCCATCTACATTACCCACAATGTAGGCTGACCGCTAAGCAGAGATGCTGATATGCTAGTAACGACTAATGTAGGTTTGATCTGCTAGCCTCCAGCAGATATGAGGAGCAGTCTACAGAGGTCTGGTAAACCCCCTTCTTTGTAACTCCACACCCCCAGATTTATCCATTTTCAAACTTGTAGTGTTGAGGCCCAACTGACGCTGACTCAAGTAATATCACATGAGAACATTTATCTGATTTCTCAGTTTCCTCAGGAGCCAAAAAAGGCTTCATGCAACTTTTTTCACATATGCTGTACTATTCCTCGAGACCTGTAAACAGACTTTGATGTGTAAAATTGGTGGAGTACTCCTTTCTTTAACTTGTCTTTTACAAGTTCCTCAACTGCTAAACTGAGTACTCTATCATCATGTGGGGTCATGTTAGTGGGTTTTTTTTGTTTTGTTTTGTTTTTTGAGTCATGAGCGCTACGAACACTTTGGTTTTATACCTCAGATGCATTGTATCTGAATTGTATAGTTTAAAAGCATTAAATACTGGAACAATTAGTTGCCTAAAGGAGCTATTTTTAAGTTTTGATATTGCTACATAGCCAGTAAAGCATTAACAGCTGTTTACCAGTCTAGAAGAAATGTTGTTGTTATTCACCAAGAGCTGTCTTCAGCGGTGGAAAGCTAGCCTCCACATGTCTCGTGACTTTCCAAAAGAGTCTCACTGTAGCCTCCAAAAACAGCCCCTTTAAAGAGTATTTTTCTTAAACAGTAAACACTGATGACAAAAAAAACAATGATTAATCTAAAAGTCTGGAGTTAAATGAGGGAACTGTGTCAGTGTGGTTTCATCAGACCTTTAACTAATTCAGGGTATAATCATAAGAAAATAACTGTATAAGTCATTTATGGAGCAAAAATGCTTAAACTTTTCAGTTCCATTATTTAGTTGTAAATTTAAAACTTTTTGAGATTGGGGGATTGAAGTTTATAAATTGATTGAGCCAAACAATGCAAACAATTTGAGGCGATCCCCTTGGGCTCTGGTAAATAGCGATGAGCATTTTTTGGCATTTGACAGACAAAAAGATGAATTTATTAATCAATAAATATCTGCCTTCTGTTGTGACAGGTGTACCAGCTGCAAACTGAGCTGCAGAAAGCCCAAATGGAGAATGAGTTCCAGAGGCAGCGCTCGTTTAGATGTGCATCTCTTGCCGAGACACCGCAGCTGCAAGAAGAAGTCCGGAGACTGCGCTGCCAGCTGGTGAAAGCAGAAAAATTGGACCCAGTGAGAGCAATCATTCTGTCTTATTAGCTTATTTATGTAGAATGGTGACAGTTTTCATTCTCAGTCTTTACACAGTGGAATAGGCAGTAACTTCTTGTGCCTTTTTCTGTGCCTCATCTGTTGTCCGCTGTGTCTTCGTCAGGCTCGTCAGGACATCCTGGCCCAGGACCTGGCTGAGGCTATAGACAGCCAGGTGGAGCTAGCGGAGCAGCTCAGGTGTTACAGAGAAGAGAATGAACAGCTTCTCAGTGAGAAACAAGGGGTGAGTGTGTGTGTGTGTGTGTGTGTGTGTGTGTGTGTGTGTGTGTGTGTGTGTGTGTGTGTGTGTCTGTTTGTGTGTGTGTGTGTGTCTTTCTTGTGTCATGCAAACAGCATGATGGAAAAAACATCTATGATGGAAAGAGCCATATTGACTATTCCATTGCTACATAGTGCACATGATGTACAAGAGTCTAAATCTATTTAGAGCAGGAGTTTTCCACGTGTAGCTTAACAAACCATTTACCACAATGGTGTATTTTTTGTATTTGTGTTCAGCTCATGGATCAGAAGGAGTGCCTGAGCCTCCAGGTGCAGCAGCTAACCCTGGACTGTAACATGCACAAGCAGAAGATTACCATGATCCACAATCAGCTGAGAGAGCTGCAGGCAGAGAGAGATAAGGTACTGTAAGAAGCTAAGAACCTTCCTATCACTCAAACTTTCCTGCCTTTGGTAAACATGAAATATAATTTTATCAAATATCAAGCATATACTGGCTCATACTGTCTGTAACTCCTTGTTGTGTGACTAGGTGTGAGGTAATTTATGTCACTTTGACAAAGAGAAAAATAATTCTTTGTCTCATGCTGAAGTATGCTTGCCTTGCAATTTACCTTATAAACATCACTGAGGCTTTTCCTCCAAGACAAATGGAATGAGCAATCCATAACAAGTGTCAGGTAGCCACAAGCAAGTCACTTAGCTGCTAGCTGCTCCATTGGAGCTGTGCAGTAACTGAAAACGCAGCACTGTGATGTTACTTGACAGCTCCTGGGTATAATTAGTGGTTCATGCTTGCTGCATGATGGATGACGTACTGTATCTGCATTCACACAACCGTGGTGTTGGCATGCTTTGTGTCTCTCGCTCTGTCGTAAACAAGATTAGGAATAAACCTGTGACGTTTAACTTTTCATTCTGGACCTAAAAGCAGTTTGGGGAATTGGGGCTGTGGGGATGGAGCTGGCGAGCTGGTGCACGGGGAGCTAATGAAAGGGTTGAGTAGCCAAGAAGGTCTAGTGACAATGAAATGGGATGATGGAGGGCGTATGGCGTGGCGTGGAGGAGCTGAACTTGAGGTTGGAGAGGGGATCGGGATAGTGAGGGGAACTGGGATCTGAATGCAGATGAAGGCTGATTAATGGAGAGTGGTTGAAGAAGCAGGCAGCTGGGCTGAGATACACAGGAGAATCAGGCATGAGCAAAAGTTCACCAAGGAGAAATAATTCTATAAAATATTTCTGACACAAGAAATAGGCCAAGAGCTTGTTACTACTTGGTTGCAGAACAATCTGGCGATGAGTACTACTTGTACTGTGGCTGATGAAGTAATGGAATGCAGCTGTGGATACTCTCCAGAGGCAGGTAGAGGGAGCCACGCCCACAGCACCTATACACACGAACAAGACAAACCCAGGGGGGAGGACAGAAGGCAACACATGGAGAAAAACTGGCTCACGGAGGAACTTTGACATAACCTAGTATTGGGCTGGATTGTGTATAGGTGTGTATATGGGTGTGTGCATTTCTTTCCCAATTTGACCATGTGCCTTGTCCTTTCCTCATGTAGACACATGGGGGATGAGATCATACACAACAAAATAAAAGGTTAAATCCTAATTTAGCATGGCAGAATTAAATCCACCTTTCAGAATCGTTTATAGCACCACCAGGCGTTTATTTATAAACTTCAATATTTAATAGAAAATAATCTCAGAGTGCAATGACACAATGTGCTCTCAATGTAAAAATAACTAAGCTATTAAAGCAGGAGCTGTAACAGTGAAAGTCCATTTCTGATTTTATAGTTTTTTGCACTATAGACTGTTCCATAGTCTGACTGACCACACATCGGTGTCAAAAAATCACAAAAGCCAGCAACCAGAAGTCAGACAATACGCTCAGTGCAGCTCATCAGCACTGCTATAAAAGCCCTGTTAAGAAAAAAGTTCTGTCGACTGAAACGCTAGAGGGCTTTAAATTTGAAAAGGTTACAGGAAGTGTTGAATTTGTATTCACACGTAATGCTGCAACTTTAACAGGGCAAATGGGGGCGGATCAAAATGAGGCTTTGTATTAAAACACCAGTATGACCAATTGTACCTATCAAACAGAGGGAATTAGAAATCAGTTCCTGAGTTGCTGCGTTCATAAGAATGTGTCAAGAGCTAGATAGCTGCCAGACAGAACTCCTACTCACATGCCTTGGTGGCATGTAATCCATACATTTAATACTTCTTCATTCAAGCATTCTCTCACTGAGACATAACCACATCCACGTTTTAAATTACAGATGGCACGTGATAAGTATAGACATTGTGGTTGTCATGACGTTGCTGTTTCTACATGTGACATAGACGTGGTGGATTCTGTGCAAAATATGTTGGGTGTTGATTAAACGTGACTGTTCCCATGCTTGTAGGCGTACCTGTCCAGAGACGAGGCGCAGGCCATGATTGCACAAACCCTGGCTGAGAAGGATGCCCTGAGGTGCCAGCTGATGGAGCTCCAGGAAAGGGTCTTCAGCCTGCGAGCCAAACACAGCTCCACAGCACAACAGCAGAGCTCTGATGTAATTTCTCACACAAACACATATAAGCGCACACGTAAATACAACACATACTCAAATAATGATGTTAATACACTGCCTTATGTTTATGTCAAAGGAGACGGAGGTCAGCTGGGAGAGCCCGAACTCCAGTTGTGAAGAATCTCCATTCTCAAACAGACGCAGACTTTGCCGCATGGATGCACTTAATCCCATGTCACTGAGTTCCTTCAATTTAGAGGTGTGTATATGTGTGAGATCAGTTACAATGATTTTATATGGGCAGGTTATCGATCCTCACTAGTTTTGGAATACATGAAAGTACCACCCCATTCTCAAGTACCACAAGTTGGCTCAAATACTAGCAAAATCCATCAAATCAAGTCTTGTATAACTTTTTCTTTGATCAGAAACTTCCTGATCTAAACATAATTTTTATTTTTTATGTCGGTTAGGTTTATTTAAGTTCTTGCTGCTGCCTGTCAGCATAACGACTTGAAAACAGAGTACATGTCTCTGTCTAAAGGTCCTCCACAAACAGGTTTAAAGTTCACCAGTTAACAGGTTGTATCCTGCATAGTGTGTAAAATTCAAGAAAGTGGCCAAGAAATCATCCAGCACATAAACCCACCACAAGACCACAACTTGTTTTCACTCTTCAGTCCATTTCATATGGATAAAACAAGCTAGAAATAACATTTAAATTTTGAACCTTTGTGGTATTGGTAAGCTGGCTAGCTGTTTACCCCTGTTCCCAGTCTTTGTGCCAAGCTAATCCAACCAGCTGCTCTCAGTACAGATACAAGTGATACCAGTTTTCAGATCTGACTCTTGTGTTGATCTTTTATTGATTATATATGAAAAGCTTTTTTGGTTTGTTTGCGTGTGTATGTAGAGTGAAGATGCTGCAGCAAGTAGCGTCCGATCCCGAAATGCAGAGCCACCCAGTTCAGACTCCCTCCGCAGAAGGGAGGAAGCACTACATGCAGACAGCAGGTTTGTGTGTGTGTGTGTGTGTGCGTGTGTGTGTGTGTGTGTGTGTGTGTGTGTGTGTGTGTGTAGATGTTCATGTACATTATATATCACTTGTGCTTGTGTTCATGCTAGTAGTAGTAGTGCATTATTAGTTGCATTTGACAAGGCTGTTGGCATTTTATTACCACCCATCACCACCAGTAAGGATGGTTTCAAGGTGTTATTGAGCTTCGCATTCCTCTCTGTTGTTGTAACATCACATGGTATCCAGTTTCAGGTGGATTATAAATTTACAGGAATAAGAGGGTCTTAACTACATGTCACATGATTCCAAGAAAAACATGAATGAGTGTGATCATGAGTAAACTGCAGAACACAGAAATCTGCAAGCAGAGTGTGTTGATGAGCTAAATTAACCCTCAGTGGGGGTACATTATGAATAGGTCCTCACATTCCTCAGTTCTTGTGTTACTGTTCAAGGAACTTTTGTGCTTCCATATTCAAAGTGTTGACAAGAGGCTATCATTATTCCAACCCCCCAACCAGTGTCTACGTTCCAGCATGGCATGAATTATCTCACACTCAGCATACAGTTCTTTATTGAACTATAGTCAGTCTACAGTACTAACCTTAGCTCTATTATTTTGTGTGTTCATGTTTGTTTGTTTGTTCATGACACAGACAGACAGAGAGGAATCTGACACTGGTTTTCATGTAGCTGTTGTCTTTTTTCTCTTGCAGTTCGGAAACAGCAGAGACTGATTCTTTACATGACGACTTTGTGTTCCTGCCTAATGGTATATATAGAAAACATAACTTTTCTTTTTCGAAGTGAGTGTTTGTCTTCCTGTGTGGAACAGGGTTGTTTGTTGTTTGGCAAGACTTTCATTATCTATTGTTCAATGGTGGACGTTTGCCAGGGCTGTAAAGTTACACATTAACTCTGGCACATTATTTGACACACTTTCCAAAGTATTCAACAACCTCTCTTTTGTTTAGTGGGGAGTGAAGACATGCAGACACCCAGGCTATGCTCTTCTAGTGACTCCAGCTCTATCGGGTGAGGCGGTCTACTGGACCAACATTGTTAAAAATAAAGAGTTTTCATAATTTCAAGTAGATGGCAGTGCATTTCCTTAAGGTAATAAATTTAAGAAGAGGGTTATAAATGTATTTAAGATTAATCATTAGTAATCAGCACTAGTGACTCAAACACAACATACCCACCTATATACTAAATTAGATGTACTACATTTTCCGAGATATTTAACTCCAACCAAATGACATGGCCATCCCTATAGCCCCCAACACCAGTGTGGCTAAAAAGGCCACAGTCCATACACTTCATCTAATGTGTCTAATGTAAGCATCCTCAAATTTAAGTTGAGCTTCAGCAGCTTAAACTCATAGACATTGTTTTTAGAAAATCCAGTTTGTGTGTACTGAGCCATCACTATTAAGAATGTATTACTGCCCGACCTGTTACAGACAGCATTGGGCGTGGCTCATTTTGTGTAATAGCTTGAAAGGATTTTCTCTGTGTTGAGTGTGACGTAACATTTTTTTCTTTCCTATGATCCTGACAATAATCAAAATTGTTGCTGAACCGTGTATTTTATTTCCCTCACCTCTCACCAGCCTGTCAAGAACCTCAGCCCCTCCTTTCCTGATGCGTTCCCGTCCAAAAGCTATTCGCATCAATGGCCGTGTTCTTAGCATCTCCTTCCAGGGGGGGGCACTTCTCAGCCAGCTGGCAGTGGTGGGGGGAAATAAGACAGGAGTGTTTGTGCACCAGGTGACAGAAGGGAGCACTGCACATACTGTTGGCATTAGCCCAGGGGCACAGATAGTGGAGGTAGGTGCAAGTGTGCGTGAAAACAGTTACTCTTCTGCCTGTGGTGATGGTGTTTCTCATCGTACTGTTTCTTTGCAGGTAAAGTATGAGCAGAACCAGAAGGCTCTGAGGATGGTGCTGGAGGATTCCACTTTAGAGGAAGCTATGTGGGCTCTGGGCCAGGTTACAGGCCTCTGCCACCTCTCCCTGCGCCCCAGGCAAGATGGTATGTCCCACAGCATGTACATAAAACAGCTTTTGTTCTTTGTAACCAACACAGTAACCAAAACAGAGCAACAGGGAAAACACAGATAAGGAAAAGATAATTCTGTGGTAGGTTGTGTTGGGGATAGGTAGAGCATTAACCAACCAGGGACATTTGTGTCTGAAGCAATACATCCATGAGCAAGCATTCTAAAGCTATTAGAAACAACTGGCCGACCAGTTAGTCAAGTCAGACATTCTAGTTTCCGCAATGGTCAGTTCCATTCATGGCCTGATATACCAGATTCCTGTGTGCATGCCAGGGAACTAAGTGTGCCAGCAGGAATGTGCTAAAAGAAAATCTGCCTAAAAGATTTCTTGCAAGGTTCTCATTACTAACTTACTACTTCCTAACTGAGTTGAGTTCTAATGTTAATACAGCAGCACTGATATATTATTCAGTTTTGTTTAAGATTTTTCAAAATATTAACAAAATAAATCTCAAATATCATTTTACTACTAACAAACTGGGGTGTTAGTGTTAGTGTTGTTTGAGATTAAACACCCAAAGGTCTCCTGGTGATTAATCACCAGTATATGCAGACCTAATGTGATGGATGTTCAAATTGCCTCAAATCCGATAAAGCATTGACCTAAAATGTGATTTCTCTTATGTAAATTGAATACATCAATGAAGCACATTGAAGAAAACAAAATAAGAGACACAGACATAAGCAGTTATTGATGGAGGATGAAGTCATGCGGCTTCTTTACATGCACAAACTTGATGACTTGACTTGGTGACTTGATGACTGACGGTTGGCTATTTAAAGGAATAACCCCCAAGATACAGTGTTTTAAAACTTCAAACAATGGAAAATAACATTAGTGTTTGCCAAGCACTGAGGAGCTTAGAAAACAGATACTGGTGGTGTACATTACATTTCTTGGCCTTTTTGTTTTATTTGTTGCCATAAGGGGATGGTAATGTTTGTCTGCTGCTTGGTTCAACAACCAACAATTCTGAACAGATTACATCATATGTAGACAATGTACAGTACAAGCTACAAAATTACCCCATAATGTTACTGTGGTGGTTTTAGTTAACGTGTCCTCTGTCTGTTGCTCAGATTATGAGGCACTGCTTCAACAGCTGCAGAGCAGTGAGATATCATCAGGAGATTCTTTCTACGTACGTGTCAATATGTCTCTGCCTGCCGGCCCCAACGGGACCCTGGCTGTGTCCTGCAACGACATCCTGCATGTGACCAACACGCGACCCGCTGGCACTGAGGACTCGTGGCACGCCAGCCAAGTTCACCCGTGTCAGCTACTGGACCTCCAGAGCGGAACCTTACCCAACTATTACAGGTCAGTACACTGATGGGGAAAACACTGTAGACAGGTGGGGATGAGGAAAAGTTCAGGTTAATGTTAGTCAACGTAGGAAAGGAATCAGAATCATTAGAATACTTGAAAGTAAAATTAAGTCACCGCTCACAGTGTTTGAGACTGAAACTTTTCTGACATCACAGGGCACAGCGACTTCTGATTCGAGCAATTGAGGACATGAGCTTTCAAACAAAGAAGTCTCTCAAGGTAAGAATAATCTAATTGCTCCAAAAACAGTGATCCTATCCAAAATTACACTCCCCTTAATCTATCCTTGGAATATTCCTCTCCCTCCCCAGGCTGGGCGAGTGGTGGCCCAGAATAAACAGAATGCAGTGAGGATTGTGAGCACCGGGCGTCAGGGCAGGAACCCACTGTGGGTCAGCGTGGAGGATGAAAAGACCAAGAGCACAGACTCAAGTATGAGATCCTGTAGCAGCACGCAAGCATACAAGTACAATATCTGTTCATTTGTGTGATACACACTTTCTCGATTTACACTTTGCTTACAGTGTATATCCTTTCTCCTGTAGGTGATACATCTGCACCCAAAAGTTGTGTAACCCTCATGCCCTACACCCTGGTCACCCCCCACTACCCACCCATCTGCAGACCCATCCTGCTGCTGCCCACCGTCCTGGGACGCATTCTGGACAAGAAGCTGGCAGGGTGGCAGGGCTTTCAGCTCTGTGAACCTGGTAAGAAATACTGTGTTGTTATATTGTGTTTTTGTATGTTGACCTGCTGGAGCATATGCCATTGAAAACAAATGATTAGATACAGAAGGGGGACACAGTTTACTGCGCTGACAGATACGTCTGTTTGACTTGGAAGATCACATGTTTTATTGGTGAGACTATTGATGTATTTCCTCCTCTAATTTCATGCTGTAATGGAAGTATATTTTGCTGGCTTAGTAAACAGTGAATCTCATACTGTACAGTGGTAAATATTTTAGGGTTTGTCTGTTGCGATAAACCAGGAAGGAAATAAACTTTGTGAATGAATAGTAATAAAAAGCTATAAAGACAATAAATGCTTGCCAGTGTACCCTGCAATGATACGGTAAAATGAAAGTTTAATGACGTTTGTGAGAAAACATGATCATCAAAATAACAAAGGACAATTACAAGGATGTTTAGAAGAAACAGAACACAGGATATTCAAAAGACAATAAAATAATAATACAACAAATAAAATATTAACGAGAATGCAACAACTTAAGGTAAAAGTACTTTATCTTCATGTAGAGCTCAAAAGAAAATGATGAAGACGTATATGATTCTTCTTTCATTGCCTTATTTTATCAGCTAATATACATGTACTCTCTTCTTCTCATCCCTGCCTGTTTCTATCTCCACCCCTTCTCTTGTTTTCACTCTCCTGCTCTACAGAGGTCCTGAGCTCCTGTGAACACGCAACCCGGCTACAGAGGTCTGAGATCCTGGAGGAGTGTGAGCAAGGGAGAAACTGCTGCTACACTCTGCAGAGTGTCGAGAAAGTCATGAAGAAGGTCAGAACATGAACACAAAAGCAGAGCTTATATTTGGACACTTTCAGCACTCAAGACTTTCTTGGAAATGTGGAAAGGTGCCCCCAGGCTAGCAGTGGGGATGGCAGTGTCAGGTGGTGGGCTGGTCCACCACTTTGGTCCAGATTGCAATATCATAACAAATTGAAATTGAAATTTTATACAGACATTCGTGGTCCCCAGAGGATTAATTTTATTATACTATTACTATGGCGACCCCAGCTTTTTCTTAAGTGCCATGATTTTATGTGAAATGTATTAGATTACAATCAAATTTGGTAGAGACATTCATGTAACTCATGAACAGACAACATTCATTTTATACAAACATTCAAATTTTGATAATCCAATAATTTGATATCTGCTGCCATCATCCTGTTAAAAGTTGAATTCTTCCAGTACTTTGTTTTATGACCAAATAACTGAAAAAAAATGACATTCCCATCAGCTTCAGTTGCCCTTTCTTTTTAGTACTAATAAGCAAATGTTCAATTCAATTTTATTAGTATAGCATCAAATCATAACATACATTATCTCAAGGCACTTTGTAAAGTGAGGGTCAAAACCTTAGAATTTTATAGCGAGAAACCCAACAGTTCCCACTATGAGCAAGGACTTGGCGACAGTGGAGAGGAAAAACTCCCTTTTAACAGAACCAGACTCAGGGTGGGCGGCTGTCTGCCTTGACCTGTTGGGTTGTCGCTAACATGTAAAGTACAATCATTATGATATTATGATAAAGCAAAGCTGTGCCTAAGTACAGATTTACAGGGATGCTGCCGTGGCTGTACACTCTGTAGAGCTATCATTTTCTCATCATTTTCACTAACATTCAATAATGTTATGCTAGTATCATCACTTCTTTCTTACCCCAACCTGACAAGCAGCGATTATACTGAAACTATAATTTACAGCCTCATTTTTGTAGATTATTTCTGTTTCCTTTGACATACAGGTTCATTTTGCTGCCATTTTACAACTATGTTCTTCATAAAATTAAAAAGTTAAAATGCAGATTTTTTCATAGATGTTGCATTAAAATATGTTTCACTACATAACACTGTCCTTACATCATGCTGATTTATCCCCATATTTCATCTTCCCCTTCATCCTACAGGGGATTCACTGTGTGCTGCCGTTGGGCCTGGACTGTGTGCGACGGCTGCACCGGGCCGCGATCTTTCCCATCATCATCTTTATCAGCCAGACTGCAAGGAGTGCACGTAAACTGAGGTAAACTGTTCTTTCTTCTTCATAAAAACACTGACAGATAGCTGCACCTGTCTGATATCACGTACAGGAATGTGTACTGTTGACCTCATTGATATCTGCCACAGTTTCAACAGATAAGTTTTGTCCTTAAATTGACATTAGCTTTCCAGTTAGAGGTCCCAAAATAGATACTCTCTTTGGTCACTCGTTTCCTCCATCTCCTCTGTTTTATTTGATGCTGTAATGGAAGTTTGTTTTGCCCTATCCCTGCCACCGTCTTGTACATTTATGGGGTTTGTCTGATAGTGCAAACCAGGAAGTAAATAAACCTCATGAATGAATGTTATAAATGAATAACACATTAAAAATGACAGAAGCTCCTTTTTCATTCACTAAAATGATTTCCACTAAACGCCCTACTTCATAACATTAATGCACTGTTGCGCTGTTACATGTCATCCGTTTGTGATTAACTAGTTTTTTAATTCTATCCATGCAGTTTAAGGTCATTAAATTGTCCAAAAGACAAGAAAGACACAGATTTTCCATTGAAGGAAAGAACAAAAATCAGTTATGTCCTCTTGTGGCTGTAATGTGTTCTGCTCTATTAATGCTGCTGTCACTGGAAAACTGGTATCACTGCTTCTATGAGGATTTCTCTTCCAATTGTTGACAATTCAAATAACATAACAGAGCGAAACCTGTTTTATCATTCTGAGGGACTGACATCCAAACCTGACGACAGTGTTGATGTTTTAGGGAACTGAATAATTTAGATATGTGAAATTCAATTATTCAGAAAATAGCAATTTCGATTGAAAATGATCTTGTTTATTTCCTTCATCCCTCCATCACTTCCAGGTCAAAGCTGCAGCGCCACGGCCAGTCAGAGGAGCAACTGCTGGCATGTTCAAAGAGTGAGGAGCCGCTGCTGGACAAGCTGCCGTGCCTGTATCACAGTGTCGCTTCAGACTCCTGGTGTGACCAGACCTCCTTGCTCACCAGCTTGCGCACCATTATCTGGGAGGAGCAGAAGAAGATCGTCTGGGTGGAGCCTGACTTGTGGTGAAAGAGAGAGTAGGAAAGAAAACAGAAAATATAAAAATAATAGGAAGCATTTCTCAAAGGGCTATTTTGTTAAGATGATAAAGAATTGAGAATATGATAGACAAACTTTACAAGAGATATTTTTATAAATGTGAGTATGTATCTATGATACTTATGAGTAACTGTGAGTGAAGGACTTCATGATGATGCAATAAAATGCATTTTAAAAGTGTATTAAGCTGTATCATTATTTACTTTACCCAAAACATTTTCGATGATTTAGTTGCCTCCTGTTTTGAGGCTTTTGTTTAAAACAAACCCAGGTATGAAGTGTTTGCTACAAACACAAACACTGATAAAACATACTGTGATGATTTGTATGTACTGTATCTCTACAATATGTTGTAGATAATTTCCCACTATGAGGGATTTTCTTTTATTGCCAGTGTTTCATTGGGATGCTACAGCTTGTTGAGTTATTTGACTTTTAATTTTGATTCATTACTATGAGATGAGATTCATGTTAGGAGAAAAAACATCAGTCACCATTTCTGTTCTTTAACAATAGGTTCACAAGATTTTAGAATGATCCTCAAGTGCATGTGATTGAGGGTCTACATCATGAGAGATCTGTATCTTGTTTGTTTGGATCATGACGGATGTTACTTAAATTCTTCTTTTACTGGGCTCCTCTCCCTCTCTCACTCTCTCCCTCTCCCTCTCTGCTCTTATTCGTCACTCTGTCCTTTTCTTCTTCTTCATGGTGCTGCCATGCATCCATAAGCGTTAAGTCTTAGGATTTAACTGTCAGCTTGTACGAAACTTGACAGAACATCCCTATGAATTTCTGTGAATTTTGTTGTCAGATTCTGTAATGGAGTTAGGCTCTGCTGGGTCTCACTGTCAACATAATAAAAATTTAAATATTTGATGGTTTATGTTCAGGTTTGAAGATCATCGTTTTCATATAGCACCATGTTGTATTTACTCCATTGCTATTTTCATTTTGTTTATTTTATTGTCATTGTTTTGATTAAGTATGAAACATCGTACAAGAGGTTAGAGGAATCAACTCATCTTTTGTTGTAATTTTAAATACATGTTTTATTTATTTTAAGTTAAATTAGTGTAAAATGTCTAGATTTCATTTCATACAGTTTCAGAACATATAAAAATGACTTAAAGTGATTTGACTTGGTTGAAACTATGTGTCTATGTAAACATAAATCATGGTTGTTTCCTTAATAATAATGAAAACCATGATGAAGGTTAGTATGTACTTTAGTCCCCCTTCATATTTTCATCTCTTAGAGGTGCTGGGAGCAGCCTCTTATGTTGTCTTGTTAATGACTTTGGCCCAAAACAGCAGCACCCACAGCTGTAAGGAATTTGTGTCAAATGAAGAACTGACTACAGTTCAGTTAATTTAAAAGATTACATGTTATTATTTAAACTGCCTAACTACTTATACTGCCCATCTATCTATCTATCTATCTATCTATCTATCTATCTATCTATCTATGGGATGAGGGCAAGAATATGTTGTTTCCTGAACAACTGGGTGCCTACTTGCTACTGGATGTCTTTGAGGCAGAGCAGGAGACCTCCAAATCCCCTTTCCCTACAGAGGAATTAAGAAAACACTGCAGCAGAACCACAGCACTCTGAAACTGAAACACTCCAAGAGAACCACAAAGAGGTCACACAGAAACCAACAGAGTTTCTGCAGATAGTGCAACTGTTGTAATCAAAGCAGCGGTGCGGAGGACAAGAGGCCAGAGAGATCCAAGCTGCTTCACCATCACAAGCCCCACTTCACACCCAAAAAGAGGAGCTTTCAGAGTCCTCCAAGACCCACAACACAACAGTAATATATTAAAACAAAAATCTGTGCCAACATGCATATTTCTCTTTGAAATAAATCAGTAGGCCTATATTTGATATGGGGAGTTTGTATGCTTGTTTTAAAGAGGCATATTAATTTGTTTTAATTATGTAGAAATATGAACTTTGTATGAATTACGTAAATTAATTGGTATAAGACTGTAATCAGGACATGAGAAAATATGTGTGATGTTCACGTTTGTAGAAAAATGATATTTGAAAAAGTGACACCTGGTCTAATACAGGATGCTAACTGTCTCTAGAACATGTAGTTACTTTCCTGATGATAGACCTCGTCTTCAAAATCCCGTTTGATAATACGATAAATTGAGGTTAGTAAACATAGACTATAGAGGCATTCTTTAGGCAAAGTCCTGTCTTCTATCCTCATATTTTAGTGTCGTAAATGTCTCAGGTGAAATCATTTTAGACTTTAATGAATAGAGTCAGCGGCGCGTGCGCAAGAAAGGATCATTTTCCAAACCGTCAGCTGTAAGACCACAAGAGGGAGCAGGACAGAAATGTAGCCGAGTATTTCACATTTCTACAGCAGGCCGCTGATAAAATGTCTAAACCAAAGGTTTGGTTTGTTTCAATGACAATATTATTAACTTAATACAAGAACCATGAAACCCGCGGGGTTTTCGCTTGGCTGGAATTGCCGTAGTAGCTTCACGCGGGAGATACGCTAACAGGTGGGTTGTCTGCTAGCTTAACTGAGTTTGCTCTACAAACTAGCTGAACGTGTTTTAAGTGAATTTGTGGAAGGGATTAAGTATTGTGAAGTGAAAGCCAGTAATGTGTTTCCCCCCACTCCTTCGGTTTAACCTGTAGCTCTGCAGGTGAGTGACATTTTGCCCTTGTATTTAGTTGTATATTTGGAAACTGAAGAGCAAAACCTCATAATAAAAAAACAGCCATCATAAACATAATATAATTTTACCTTTAATGTCAAATTAACTGAATATTTATGTTTGATACTCTACTCTCATTTACTATGTAATCATGTTCATATTTTCTTCACAAATTTACATACATTTTTTATCAGGTTATTCACTCATTCATAACCCTAACGTTAAAGGAAAAACCCTCTTCAGTCATAAATAAATCATGGATGCATAATAAAAAGATATTTACTCATTCAGTTTAATTCCTCACAGGAATATTATATCCCGTACAGTAGACTTAAAAGGTAGACCTACACTTCATTACACTTCCCAAGATCAAGATATATACAATTGGGAGAACCACTTGAGAATTTGGCACAGTTAGATTTTATAAATTGTCAGTACTTTTACTACCATTTACTAATGCTTTACAGGTGCTTTTCAATGAAAAAGAGCACAAATTAAAAGGTGTTTGGTTGCCTGATTATTAGGCACTTAATCGTTTATGTTAGGATCCTTCATTAAACGGTACAATTTGGCAATCCAATGGTTTGTTTAATTTGTACATAGAGATTATTGCTATTCTGCAAGTGATTAATATTAATTAGAAATCATTAGATAATTTTATCAACCTTGTAAGTAGGCCTTATTGTGAAGTGGTATCACATGGTGGAAATAATTCGTCATTGGATGTTAGAAAGCCAAAGACTCCTTCTAATCAGTAGTAGTTGATGTTTAGGGATTGAGAATTATTTTGCAGTTAAAAGCCATGACCTGTAGCTGCCACAAGGGGGAGGCAGAGAGAAATTAATGTGGATTGGAGGGAGTGGTTTGGAGAAGAAAACATGGATCCTACTGAGTGAGGGAAGAGCAGGGAGGAATGAGAGGGGACACTTTGATTTCTGAACACAAGCCCCAAGCACCACTGTCTTTCATCAGACTGTCATGCTGTTCCGTTGGCTGTTTCCCAGGTCTTGATTTTACAGCCTGTGTGTACTGGGCAGCAGAAAACATGGGTAATCAATGGCCCCCACCCCCTATACCCGTACTCTTTTTTTTTATCTAGTGGTGATTATTGACTGGATCTGAAGGATTTTTTAAGACTTCCACTGAATCAATTTCCTCTCCTGGAAGACGTTTTTGGCTCCATCAGGGTCCAAAACCCCAACCCTCCCTCCTGTTGCTGGGAAACCACTCCAGTGATTTGTGTGTTGTCAGAGTGCATTATAGACAGTGACATGGAGAGAGAGAAACAGAGAGAAAGCGAGTGAGAGAGAAACCTTGGCTGTTGAAGGGAAGAAGAAAGGGAGAAAAAGAGGAGGGCGTTCAAAAAGAAAAAATATTACATGCACATCTACTCTGGCTCCCTCCCTTTCTTTTACCGTTTCTCTCCAAAACACACACACATCTACACACACACTGCATACTGCACTGTAGGGTTCGATTAACATGCTTTGATTCCCTCTTTCCGTCTCTCTCTCGTTCTCCCTCTCCCTCTCTCTCTCTCTCTCCCCCTCCTGTCGCTCGCTCTCCGTTGGCATGTTAACTGGGTTGAGTTTTAGCTTTTGGGATTAAAGGGATGAAGAATGTGTTTGGCAGAAAAACTGTTGGGTAGAATATTTGATGTTTAATTGATAGAGTTTGGATGTCAGAGCAAGGCTTGTTATTTGCAATTATCCTAAATCAGTGTGTGTGTGTGTGTGTGTGTGTGTGCGCGCACAGTATGTCTCTGAGTTTACTGCCAGGAGTCCTACTATGGTCAGAAACGCCTTTCACTGCCCATTAAGAATTTGAAAAGAAAGCTGTGATTAACTGATGGCAATGTGGTTTGCAATACATGTGAATATGAGTTTGCTCAGAAAAAAATACTTATTCCTTATTGTGTTATACTCTAGGTGTTTCTAATATTTTGTCCACCCCATTTATATAAATGAGGGTAGAGTGAACATTAGAAACACCACAAAAACTTCAGCCTCAAAACGACGATAAAGTTGACTCAACACATCCCTGAAACAGATGCAATAAAAACTGAACACTGCAACGTTCATAGTGTGTGTGCTGCAATTATGGGGACAGAACTGCAGGCTAATAAAAAAAAAACAAAAAAAAACACACCCACTCATTATAGGCTCTTACATCAAAATTTGTAACATTTTACAACATTTACACTTCAGGTTTTATTGCATAATAATTAGTTTATAATCATTTTGCCTTCTACCATTGGTAAGCAATAAACACTTTTCTGCTTCTGTCAACCCATGGCCACGGTCCAGACACACAGGTGTTTTTACTTACTTAGCTTGATTAGACCATGTGGGTGTGTGCAGGCTGTGCATGAGAGACATGTTCATGGCTTTGTCCGAAACTACTTGTGTTAATTGCGAACAGGCCTTTTTACAGCCAACATTTTGACTTGTCATAGTTGAAAAATTACAAGTTCTACTAAGAACATTAATGATGGCTCCACAGCAGGACCCTGACACTGAAGCAGCTAAATGAAATTCAGCAATCATTAGTTTTATTATTTACACCTGTGATTTTTCTACTATGAAAAAGAACTATTTAGTTGCACTATTTAGTGCCTTCAGAAATTTCTACAATGGAACAAAAAAGGTGTGTTCAAGGAATGTGCACTAGTTTCTGCTCACAGTACAACGCATTTCATCGACACAAATATTACAGTTGTTGCAATACGACACCTGTCAGTGACAACACAAAATGATGGTGATTCATCGGTGTTCGACATCTGAATATACTGCTCACAGTAGTGCAAACAATTGACTTCAATTTATTTATAGAGAAATAAATGAAGGGAGTGTTTATTCCTTATCATTGGTATCCTAATTACCACTTTCTGGCTTGTAAATACAGTTCATGTCAACATTCAAGTTGTAATTAAAGAAACTGGGAAGTGTCTGAAAACGAAACATCAGGCAAAGTCCATCATTCAGTTTAATCAAACCCATATTTAATGGATATAGTGTTATACTGTCTTTCCCACCTCTACCATGCACAGCATGAGCAGTGGCCTGGTCAGTCAGAATGATTAAACATTCCTGTGTTTAAGTTCAAGGTCATATATTGTCCTTATCCTCCAATTTGTTTCACTATAGCTGTAGTATTCTTGTGATTGTAATGGTATTACATGTGCCTTACTTACTCAAAAAAGTTTATATAGTGTTAAGTCACTCTTTTAAA